AATTCACTCACCTCAGCCTCCCAAGGCGCAGGATGACAGGCTGAGCCACCGAGCCCGGCTTAATTTTTTGATTTATTGTAGTGATGAGGTCTCCCTAAGTTGCCCAGGCTGGTCTCAAACCCCTGAGCTCAGACAGTCCTCTCGCCTCCACCTCTCAGTGTGCTGGGATTACAGGCATGAGCCACTGTGCCTGGCTTATATTTTATTTTAAAGATGTGGGGTACAGGCTGGGCTTGGTGGCTCAGCCTGTAATCCCAGCACTTTGGGAGGCTGAGGAGAGTGAATTGCCTGAGCCTGTGGGTTCAAGACCAGCCCTGGCAACTTGATGAGACCTCATCTCTACAATAAAAAATTAGCCCGGCTTGGTGGCTCAGCCTGTAATCCTGCGCTTTGGAAGGCTGAGGTGAGTGGATTGCCAAAAAAATTAGCGGGGCGTGGTAGCGTGCGCCTGTAGTTCCAGCTACTTGGAAGGCTGAGGCGGAAGGATCGCTGGAGCCCAGCAGGCTGACGCTGGAGTGGCCATGAGTGTGCCACTGCACTCCAGCCTGGGTGACAGAGTGAGACTCCGACCCAAAAAATAAAATATGAGGTACAATTCAGGATTAGGTATACAAGTGGGCATCGTACAGGTAAAGTTTGGGCCTCCCTTTGGTCCCCACTTTGCCTGTTTTGAAATCAGGTACCCTTATTGATGTTGCGTCCCCACCCCCACCCCGGATCCCTTTGATTTTAGATGTGATTGGGCATGTTCAGGGTGGTATGGTTGTAGAGTCTTTGATTTTAGCCTGAAGAAGTCGTAAGCTTTGAATAGGAGCACTATGTACAATAATATCAGTTTTCTTTCATGGATCTTTGCGACTTTTTAAAGTTGTAGGGGGAGTGATTCTTAGAGGTGGGTGGAAGGTCTCAGTCTCACCAAAATCCTGGTGGCTTTTTTTTTCATTTTTATCTCCAAAGCTTTATGTTTTATGAAAAGCATCTGAGGAAATGATTCAGCGCTCCATCTCTGGACTTGTCACAGGTCCTGGTTCTAATCCTCCCACTGGGCTGCTTCTTAGCTTTGTTATTTGGAACAAAAGACAGCCTTTGGTATTTGACCTTCCTCATCTGAAATGGCAATAATAGTAGTACCTATGTCCCGGTATTGTTCAGAAGGGAGAGGACTTAGCTCAGTACAGGGCCTCGCGCCTCCCAAGTGTTCAATACAAGTTAGCTGTACTCACAGTCCTTAATTTTTTCTTGCAGCCATTGATGGAGGTGGGGATTAAGAGTTGTCTCCTAAGAATTTTTTTTTTTTTTTCTTGAGTTGGAGTCTCGCTCTGTCACCCAGACTGGAGTGCAGTGGTCGCTCCCGGCCACTGCAGCCTCGACCTGCTGGGCTCCAGTGATCCTTCCGCCTCAGCCTTCCGAGTAGCTGGAACTACAGGCGCGCGCTAGCACACCCGGTTGATTTTTGATTTATTGTAGAGATGAGGTCTCGCCAAGTTGCCCAGGCGGGTCTCGAACCCGCGGGCTCCGGCAATCCTCTCACCTCAGCCTCCCAAAGGTGCGAGATTACAGGCTGAGTCACCGAGCCCGGCAACTCCTAAGAATTTTAGGTCCAGTAGAATGGGTTTGCTACAGAAAATACCAGCGCCAGGAGAGACTGAAATAGCATAGTGTTATCTCTTCTTTTTTTCACGTGAAGACATTCCAGCCGTGAGAGAGAAAAGACACGGAGTGAGTTAGAGCCAGAACCCAATCAGGGCTGCAATTGTCTCTGTCTCCTCTGGTGCTCCTTCTGCAGCTCCACCTGTTCATTAGGCTTTCACTGTAAGGACACTGGAGAGGCATCTTCTCCAGGCTGCTTGCTAATGGTGACAGACATATGGCCCTCCTTTTTTACAATTTGGTGGGGCACAGTGTCACGTTGATCTGCCCCTCAGTTCTCAGTAAAGTCATCCTTTTTGTCTGATTCGGACCAAAAAAATGGTTGTGTGATTTTTGACAGGCGTTGGCTCTGATCACCAGCTTTTTTCTTTTTTTCTTTTTGAGTTGGAGTCTCACTCTGTCACCCAGACTGAAGTGCACTGACTGCTCCCGGCCACTGCAGCCTCCACCTGCTGGGCTCTGGCGATCCTGCCGCCTCAGCCTTCCAAGTGGCTGGAACTACAGGCGTGTGCTACCACGCCCGGCTAATTTTTTTGATTTATTGTAAAGATGAGGTCTTGCCAAGTTGCCCAGGCGGGTCTCGAACCCGCGGGCTCAGGCAGGCAGTTCACTCACCTCGGCCTCCCAAGGCATGGGATTACAGGCTGAGCCACTGAGCCTGGCCCCCCCAGCATTTTTCAGGACATGTCCTAGGATCTGGAGATACCAGATTGAAGAGCGTTTGTGTGTTGGGCAGAGTATGCCCAGTGTTGCAGAAGAGGTAGAGTGAATACGGGGAGACAGGAGTTTGCTTCATGGGGGCACTGCAGCTGCTGCAGCTGGACTTGGCAGGACCAGTAGAATTTCCACAAGTAGAGATGAGATGTGGGAGGCAGAAAGGAAAAGAATCCACCCAGCATAGGAAAGTGCACTGGGGAGAACACGGAGCTGGGAAACTGGGGTGCCTTCAAGGAATGAGGTGTGGTCGTGGGTAGCTTAAGAACTGGGTTTCGTGATGAGACATGGTGAGGGGCCTAGTAGGAGGGTCAGAGGTCTTGTTGACTTTGAATTTTTTCTGCATTTGGCTTTTTTACTGGGGAAAACAATCCACAGTGCACCCCAAACGTCACCACTCTTTTTTTTTTTTTTTTTTTTG